ACGGGTCTTCTGTGGCATGTGCCCTTGCCTTTCCTGGGTTGGGAGGGGAAGAGGGGATTATTAACAAGATAAAGGGAAAGGCAGGGCTGAGAGCCCAGAAACTGCTTAACTTTAAAAATTTTTTTAAAGGAAAAATTACCAAAAAAAAAAAAAATGAGAAGACAGAGACAGAGACAGAGGTAGAGAGAGATAAAGACAAATACAGAGACAGGAGGCTGCAAAGTCTTCTTCCTACCACATGAGTTTGAGGGCTGGAGGCTGAATTATCAGCTGAATTATCAGTGGAAAAATCTTCATTTCTCCTAGTCTCCTGAAATCACTAGTTCTCAGTAGCCATGAAGGGGTCTTCTGTCTGATTTGTATGAACTCTTAATATTTAATACTTTCTTCTTCTATTTGCTATAAATGTTTTCTTTTCAAACTCATACAGACAGAAATTTAAAAAGTTGCTATATATAGTATTTTTCCTTTACTGACTTCTGTAGCTTCTCAATTCTTTTTTTAATTGCTAAAAGACATGCACTCTCACCAGAGAGAAAAAGAGAGGACCAATCAATGGGGTGTGATCATGATGCAATCCTTTTTCTTCCATTTTTCCATCCTGTCAGGATTTGGAGCATGCATATATTGGGTTTTGTTGTCAAGTCTCTTTAAGTCTTCTTCAAACTGGAAAAGTTTCTTGGTGTTTTTTTGTTTTTGTTTTTATGAACTTGATACTTAAATTATTTTTTTCTTTTCTTTATTCATGATAGAATGCATTCTAGCCCATGAGAGAGAGAGAGAAAGAGAGAGTGAGTACCTCTACAAGGTCTGGTCATGCTGAGATCCTCTTCGCCAGTTCTCCAGCCCATTGGATCCTGGGCACTCCCGGGTGTGTCCAGCATGCTTCAGGCTGACCGGGTCAGGGATTTGAACTATAGTCATCATCAGATGGAGTCTGGCTTCTTTTGAACAGAGCAATAATGCTATGCCACAGAATCAACCAACTCTTGATGTTTTTGAAGAATGGCTCAATTTTTGTCTGTCAATATTTTCTATAATTAGATTCAGGTTTTGAAGTTTTGGCAGGAATGACAGAAGTGTTGCTGCATTCTCATTGTATTCTGCCACAGAGAAGTACTGAAAGTTAGTTTAGTGGTTTCATGTTCACATTTATAAAGAAATAAAAATAAGCAAATTCTTTAAAACTGAAGAGAGCGATTGTTATTTCTCTGCTTTGTCCTTGGTGGGTAGTAAATCTAATAGAGAGTTGTTGTACCAGTTATGCTTTGCTGCTTAACAATCCACTTCAAAACTTACAACTTAAACAACCACCACTACCATCACCATTTTTTTTTCTTTTTTCTTTTTTTGGAGAGGTTTTTGCTATAGGGCGTCTGTGCTCGCCAGACAGACAGAGAGAGACAGAGAGAGAGAAAGTGAGAAATCACCCCCCTGGGGGATGGCCATGCCGCAATCCCTTCTCCTTCATTCTCCTCTCAGGATCTTGGGCACGCACGCACACGCACCCAGTGTGAGTTTTAAGCCACCGGGTTTGGGACGTGAACCGCAGTCGACTATGTGGAAGTCCAGCGACATAGCCATTCTGCTAACTGCTGGTCCCAATGTCATTGCTTTTTCAATGAAAAATATATTTTAGCATTAATGATAGACATGTAGCAAAGATTACATTAGACAAGTCAAAATTTCATGTATTTTAATGTCTTTGTCTATATTATTCACAAATTTTTACATATAATCTATAAATTATTTGTTAAATCTCTTACACCACAGTTTCTTAGGGCATATTAAACATTAATATGTTGTCTTAATCAACTCAAAATATATGAAATACATAAAGCTTGTTTTTTGGTATCCCCGGTCTTCCCATATTTCACTCATGTTTTCCCCAGATGGCATATAAATAGTGGGAAGTGTTCAATAATTATGTCATTTTCAGCAATATATCTATTTCACTAATAAAAAATAATGCCATGGATGCCTCAGGTACAGAATTCCCATGTTTCTCCATTATTTATACTTAAAGGAGTTGCTGAGCCATTGCTCCCACCCTAATCAGGCACTGACAATCACAAAGAGACAGCTAAAGGAAGTGAAGATTGTATATCATGACTATATTATGAGAACACCAATCCTTGTTTTTAAAACTTGTTATAGGACACATGTGGGAAAGAGAAAGAGGGGATGGCCATACCAAAATCTCTTCTCCTTCATTCTCATCTCTTGAGATTCTGGGCACACAAACTTATGCTTAGCATGTTTTTCAAGCCACCAGCTCCAGGACTCAAATTCGCAGTCATGTGAGAGTTAGTCCCCTTACCCACCACACCATCAGCAGCTCTCACCAATGCCTTTTTAAAACCAAGAACAAGGGATCAGCAGTTGGCATAATGGTTTCATCGCTGGACTCCCATGTAGTCCACCTTGGTTCATGTCCCAGACCTAGTGGCATAAACTCACGCCAGGCATGTGCGTGTATGCTTAAGATCCCGAGAGGAGAATGGAGAAGAAGGGATTGAGGTGTGGCCATCCCCCTGGGGGATGATTTTTTGTTTTCTGTCTCTGGTTTTTTTTTTTTTTTTTTTTTTTTTTTTTTTTGCAAGCACACATGCTCTATAGCAAAAAGCTATCCAAAAAAAAAAAAAAAAAAAAACCAAAAAAAAAAAAAAAAAAAACCAAAAAAAAAAAAAAAAAAAACCAAGAAGGAAATTATTTATTCTAATAGCTTCCAATAACTCTTTTTTTTTTTGAGAGATTTTCATTGTAGGGCGTGTGCGCTCGCCAGACAGACAGAGAGAGACATAGAGACAGAAAGCGAGAAATCACCCCCCAGGGGGGATGGTCACGCCGCAATCCCTTCTCCCCCATTCTCCTCTCGGGATCTTGGGCACGCACGCACACACACGCGCCCGGCGTGAGTTTTAAGCCACCAGGTCCGGGACACGAACCGCGGTCGGCTACGTGGGAATCCAGCGACATAGCCATTACGCTAACTGCTGGTTCCCTCCAATAACTCTTTAAATAGACAAGTTCAGGATAGTAAAATTCCAGTATTTGACTTTCTAAACAGTTTATTTTTAAAACTGTCCATGATGTTATTATATATCTTTTTCCCCCATCATTTTCTATAACATTATATTTAGGTGTTACATATTTTTCAATGCCTGACCTGTGATTAGAGTATTACAAATCCAATTACTTGTGAATTGTTGAAGGAAAAGAAATGTGATTGTATAGCCCCAGGGGTATTAATTTCTATTTTTAATATCTTTATATCACCTGTGGTATACCTAGTAAATATTAATTATAATTTAGTATAAATAAAGTCAAAATGTGTGCCATTTATTTTAATGGAGCAATTGTTCCTAATATAATTCTAAGGTTAAATTCTATAAAACATAACTCCCATGGCATAAATTGTTATTCATGATTCTAAAATATTCATATTTAATAATTTAACCTACACTTGTTAGCCAGTTCTATTTTTTAAATTATAGGCATGTACACTCACTAGAGAAAAACACAGAAAGAAAGAGAGAGAGAGAGAGAGAGAGAGAGAGAGAGAGAGAGCATCCTCCTAGAAGGGATGACCATACCACAATCACTTCTTTTCCATTCCTCTTGAGAACTTGGATATGTATGCACATGTGCCTGATGTGTTTTCAAGCCTATAGATCCAGGACTTGAACTATATAGTTGACCATATGGGATCCACAGCATTAACCACCATGCAGTTGATTGGCCCTATTAACCAGTTTTGTAGCAAGGAAGGTGACAAGCTAACGTGGCTCAGATCTGAGAAAAGCTACAATTTTGAGGAGCCTCATTCACTTGTTTTGGGGGTGCCATTCAGGGCATTTATTTATATTCACATATTCAGTATTTTTGTTAATACAAAATTCTGAGATGCTTACATCTACTTACAAAATACTAAGAGCAAAATAGGATCACAGTATACACTGAAAATTTCTTTCCTCCATGCATATTTTATCTTTAATTTTTATCATAAGCTGTGCTTTCAATTTTCATGTCTTTTGTTAAAGTTCAAATGAAACAGGTTTCCTAAGAGAAGCAAAGAATTGAACACTTGATGCTTCTGATGACTATAAATGATACTATTATTCAGGGTTTAAAAGAAATGGTCTTTAAGCATAAAGCCAGCATAATTCAATCTATCCTCACTATTCATCTATTTGCCTAATTAAATATAATCTGTAACAAAGTGCTTAGGAAACAAAATTGCTTGTGGAAGATATTCCTTTCTGGAAAAAGCTCACGAACTAGTCTAGTCAGAGTTAAATTGACTGGTTCAATCAACGTGTAATGAAAAAGGGACCTCTTGGTACGTCATCAGTGCAACAGGAATACAAATGCAAAAAAAAAAATTGTTGGAATATGGCATTTCAGAACTGAAGTCAATGGGGGAAGAGTAGAAGAGTCTTAGGCAGTTGCTTTCTGGCAGTGCTAAATTCCACTGGAAATTGTACGTTCTGTGTGTACCCACAACACAGTCAAAAAAATTGTACATATGCTTGTGGAAAATCACATTGTAATTAAGCTACTTCACATGTGTGAATGAGAAATTTTTAAAAGGCTGAAATTGTTTTTTATTTTAATTAGAGACTCTGAGAGTTTTCTCTCTTTTCCATAGATGTTAGCCAGGGAATTACTTAATTGCTGACTTTAAAAGATATACTGTTAGCGAATTAATTCATTTCTGTGCTAAGAGCACTTTGTGTTCTTTGTCTTGCAGGCACTTTTCATGTCTGTCTTCCAAGTACATGTGCCCTGGCGTCCCTGCTGTCATGAGTACCTTGCTGGCTAACATAAATGCTTTCTATGCTCATACCACAGTTTCAACAAACGTACAGGTTTCTGCCTCAGATCGATTTGCCGCAACTAACTTTGGTGTAAGTATACTTTTTGGAACTTTAAAATTCCTAATAACATAAGAGAATTGCATTTTCAAGGGTCTTTAGACTCAAGATATTCTTGAAATCTTATTTCAGAAAGGACATTTTAGGACTTACCTCTTGGTATAATAGGCTACAGCTCAGAGTTCAATTTGAAAGATTTTCAGTGAAATATCTTTATCTGACAATCACTAGGAATCTTCATTCAGTCAAATCTCTATCTGAAATATCCTTTTTCTATAGGAGAAAGTAGACATTTTGTAAGAGAATTCTAAGATTTTTTAAGTGAGTTCTCTATGTATGGAAATTTGGGATTCATCATTGCAGTCACCATTTTTTAGATACAGTTCCCTGATGAACATGAGCTTGGCTGCCTGCTCTGGAGCCTGTTAGACTGTTTGCATTTCCTCTTGGTTCCTACTTGTACTGATGGATTAACAGCATCTCCTCTGAGGAAGAGGTAATAGGTGTTTGAGAGTCTAAGAGAACTTTCTGTACCTCATGAAGGCTGTCCACCTGTAGTTTTCAAAGGCACCAGGAACACATTGGAAGATAGAAATTAAGAAATTTTAAGGAGTTTCAAGAATTTGTCTATTGCACCCATCACTAAAACCTGTTCTCTAGAAGTAAAATATGTTGAAATTGGCAAGAACGGAAGTGGTATATACAATAAGGGCAATCCCAGAAAATGGTAAGAGTCTAAATTAAGACAAAATGAGTAGCAATGGAGAAGAAAGGACAGATTTCACAGCTTTCGGGGCATAAAATCACCAGCATCAACAGCACTTGGTGTGTCTGGTTACCTGGAAAGTGAGGGAAGGACAAAGGCGCTTGGAAAAGTTCCAGGGTTCCTGGCTAAGGCAACTGTGTAGGCAGGAAAGCTGTGTATTAACCCTGTGAGACAAATATGTATATATTCTTTGTTTTTCATGGAAAAAAGTGATTGACATAATAGTTATTTTTTCCATTGCCCTTCCCATTTGGAGTACTGAATAGATTTTTTGGTAGTGAGTGTGTTGTTAGAAATTAAATTATAGGGGCCAGCACGTGACATGGTGGTTAAAGCACTCCCATATGGACAATCATGTGTTTAGACCTGGCAGCTTGAAAATCATGCCATGAGCGTGTGTGTGTGTGTGTGTGTGTGTGTGTGTGTGTGTATGTGCATGCATGCCTAGAGTCCCAAAAAAAGAATGGAGGTAGAGGGATTGCAGTGTGGCCATCTCCCCTTGGGGAGGAGGTATTTGTGGTGATTTCTCACTTTTCCTCTTTCTGCTCTCTCTGGTGAGTGTACATGCCCTATAGCAAAAACCAAATAAATAAATAATGAAGTATATATTATAGAATAGAAACAATGGAAACACAGCTAAAACAAACATTACAATTCAGTTTTTTAAAATCTGCATTTGTTCTTTTTTTCTGTGCTTTTCTTTTAAAGAAAAAATGCATGTGAAGTGTTTGAGGCAAGTTAGAATGACTCAAAGGAAAATGTAACTGCTATTTAATAATAAAGCAAAAGAGATAACAGGAAAAGAGAACACTCTTTGGGCTGGAATCATGGGCTTTGCCTTTTTTAAAAAAATATTTTTGTATTTCAATTTCTTTTACACATTCAATCACACATGTCACTTAGCTTGTAAAATGAATATTTCAACATGTATACATTTCTCACCAGTCCAGTTGAGAATACTATACATGTTATCTTGAATAGATAATACGGTGTCTATTAAGTGGAGACATACAATGTATCTCCTTCATAGCCTGGCTTGCTTTACTCAGCAGTAAATCTTCCATATTCATCCACTTAGTCTTGTTGTTTTTTGTGGCTAAGTAGTATTCCATAGATTCTACATGCCACATTTTTTTAATCCATTCCTCTGTTCACGGGCATTTGGGTTGGTTCCATGTCTTAGCAATTGTGAATAATGCTGCAATAAACATCAATGTGCAAGCACTTTTTCGACTAAGGATTCTTCTGTCCTTTGGGTAGATACCAAGGAGTGGGATTGCTGGATCATATGTAGTTCTATTTGTAGATCTTTGAGGAATCTCCATATTGTTTTCCGCAGTCGCTGGACTGATTTCCATCCCACCAACAGTGCAGGATAGTTGCCCTTTCACCAAACCCCTGCCAGCACTTACCACTCTTTGATTTTTTAATCTTAGTCACTCTGACTGGGGTTAGGTGGTATCTCATTGTGGTTTTGATCTGTATCTCCCTTATAATGAGTAATGCTGAGCATTTTTATATGCCTTTTGTCTACTTATACGTCTTCCTTAATAAAGAGGTTTGTTTAACTAATTTTCCCATCTTTTAATTGGGTTGATCATCTTTTCTTGGAAAAGCTGATTGAGTTCCCTGTGTATTCTGGTTATAAATCCCTTATCTTTTTCATTCAAAGTTAACAAGTCAATTCAGTCATTCAAAGCTCAGCTTCTCAATCTGCTCAATTAAGGTAATAATTTATGCTCCAACTTATTTCTCAAATTTAAGATGATGATCAAAGGAGATAAAAAAATGAAAATTTATAAAAGTTAAAAATTAAATAAGGCACAAAAATTTTGTTTCTGTTGTCATACCCACAGTCTAACCAGTACACTATCAGCAACTTTTGCTAAGATCAATTGATGCTTGCAGGAGCTGGGACCAAGCAACATTAGCTCAACAATATACTATTATGACCAAATACTAGATTACAGAACGGTTTTGTTATAAAAAACTCATCCTGGTAACAGTGCTTATTGTCTTGGGATTTTACCTCTAACATAAAGAAGCATTCTGTGTTATGAAATTGCTTTACTTCTGACATTATTCCTGTGTACATTGTAGAGAATAAGCCAACCTTGTGACACACTAAGTCTTTCTACCTCTGAAAAAGAAGATGTGTTTATATGATTAATATCTGCCGTAAAAGCCACCAGGAGGAAAATGAGATAACATGCTTCTTTGCTTCATGCTGACCCAAAGAAGAGACAGCAGATTGAATTCAGTGCATTTTAGTGTTTCAGTGGCAGCATCGTAATAACAATTCTATAAATTGAATAATGTGTTGAAGAATAGTGTCAAAAAAGGAGAAATATTTATTAAGACTACATCTCAGTAAATTGGTGATTTGGTTTGAAAATATGACTATATTTTTCTCCACTGAAAACAATGCTATTTATTGAGTCATATATTCTAAGGATAATGTCTCCCACTTTACTTTGGAGTCTTGTGTTTTTATTTACGTGGCTACTAAAGCTGATATTGTCATTTGGGACCCAGTGACAACTACATAGTCTCATCATTCTCCAGTGTTTAACCAAGATATTTTGAGTCTCCAAAAATAAAAATGTTTCTTACCTATGAAAACTGTAAAAGAAACAAGCCTTTCAGAAAAGAAAACCTTTACTCTTACGAGTTCTGAATTTTTAGAGTGTAAATGTTATTTGAAGTCATGGTATGAATGAAAACATGCCCAAAAATAAAGTGAAAAAGGCAGAACCCTTGGATGTAGAGAAGGACATGCAATGTTTACTGAGCAAAATGGTTAAAGAAATTAGATTAAATGATTATAAAATATGACATTATAAAAGGCAAAGTGAACTACTTTGGGAAAAATGGAATGTATGATTTTGTGAGTTGCCATAAAAAGTTCAAGTGAAATGAAAAATAAAATGAGCCTACTAGATTTGACAAGTAAAAGGTTATTGTTCAGTGAAGCAGTTGATACTGAATCCTACATTCATGGAGTTGTTTGGTGAATGTCACAGGTGAACAGTTGTATAGATTAGGGTTCATTTATTCACTAAAACATAATTAGTGTTTTGTTTTGTTTTCAGTTTTGCCAGAGGGTGTGTGCATTTACCAGAAGGAGACAAAGAAAAAGAGAAAGGAAAAATGAGAAGGGACCTCCCATAGGGAATGGTCATACCTCAATCTCTTCTCCTCTCTCCCTTCCTCCTTTTGGAATTTTGGATACAGACACACAAACACACACACACACACACCCAGTGTATTTCTCAGGCTTCTGGATCTGGGACTTGAACTATATAGTCAGCCATATAGGATCCAGACAATCTAACCACCGTACCACTGGCAGGCCAAAAATAGAATCCAATGATTAAAATCAAATTTTTACAGAAACGTTCATATAACCGAGAAATTCCTATGATACAATGATAAATAAAAACATGCTACAAAGGTTTACATTCGACCTAATCCAACATTAAGTACACACACACAAATTTACAATAAGACTAGAAAGAAATATGCTAAGATGCCAATGGTACAGCAGCATGATGGAATTATAAATGATAGTTTACTGATTTCTTTTTGTCTTTCTACTACAATTTATAATTTTTATATATTAAATTTGTATTAACTTTTTAATAGAAATCTGAAG